AGGCCTCCACAAATAAATCAATATCAGGATATTTAATTACAATTAACAATATAAGAATTACAGGGTAATACTTCATAATAAATGCATATATTTAAGAAATAGTTGTTTAGCCAAATACATTTTTTAACGATAGTATAAATGGATCATTGAAAGAGGCAGAGCACTGATGCTCGCCATGATGTGGATTGCATGTGTGGTCAGACAGTTACGCTTTAATAAACAAGACACTTCCTCAACATAGGGACACTCCATGGTCGTAGTCGACTGCTAGCAGCCGTGGAGTGAGGACGTGTACCGACCCTCCGTGGCTGTTGGAGTTGTTTGCTGTTTTGGTCGCCAGGTGGTGTGGGCATCTCTGCCCTCCCAGTTTTGTTGCCTGCCTGGCTGCGTGCTGACGTGGCGGTTCTGACATGGGGGGGCCATCTTCCTCCTGTTGTGTGTGTGAATTCCGTGGGCCTGGAGTTCACTTGTAAGGCTGGCTATACGACCATCGAGATGGTGATGTGTGACATGCTTCGTATCCCGGTGGAGGCTATTTACGGTGTGGAGCTTGTTACAGCCCACCGGGTTGTTGTTAAGTTCGTGGGGGAGGAGGAGTACCAGGACTTCCTCCGTCGGTACGAGGGGCATACGTTGCCGTTGCCAGATGATGCCGGCTCTGTGGCGATTTCGGACCGTAGTGGTGCCCTGACTAATGTCAGTGTCCATGGTGCGCCCCTGGAGTTCCCTGATGACCTCCTCCGGCGTTACTTCGGGTTGTTTGGTACTGTTGTTAGCGTGCGGGTGAACATGCTCTCCTCAGAGCGGTATGCTGGGAGGCGAACGAACATTCGCACGTTGGGGATGTGCCTGCGGTCGGATATACCTTCTTCTGTCCGGCTTATGGGATACTACGTCCGGGTGTATTATGCCCGGCAGCCTCGTACCTGTTTCCGGTGTGGCCTGTTGAGGCATCAGGCTGCCGGGTGCTCTGAGGCCCCAGCTGCTCCTGTCAACTTGTTCCGAGATGAGGATTTCCCGCCGCTCCCACTGGAGGCAGTCTCCGGTGATGTTGATGAGGAGGTGCGCGTCCCGTTTGCTGCTGCAGCTTCCCCGGCGACGCCAGACGTTCCTCCGGTTGTTGCCGACCCTCCTCCGGGTATTGCGGTACCGTCGGTTGGTCTGCCTGATCCGGTCACTGTCCCAGCTGCTCCTGTGGGGCTTCCTGGAGCTCCCTGTGTGTCGTCGCTGTCTTCTCCCTCGTCTTCTGATGCTGCGCCTGGCCCTGTGTCCGTGACTCGGGTCCCGGATGTGCTGGGTGCTGGGGTGGCTATGGAGCCTCCTGCTGTGTGTGGCCCGGTTCCCCCTGTGGTAGAGGCTGCTGCCGTTCTGTGTCGGGCGTCGGTTCATCCGGCTCGTGGTACCCGTGTTTCTGGGTCTCTTACCGGCTCTGACGATATCCGGCCGGTGCCCAAACGTTCCTGGCGTTCGTCTCCTGCCTGGGCCGACGTTGGTGACTTCAGTGACTGCGGGTCTTCGGGTATTAATGGTGTGGATACGGATACGTCTTTGTCTCCGCAGTTCGTGGTGGCGGAGGTCCATGTGCCTGCCGGTGCTGGTGCCTGTGTCTCGGACATGCCTTCGGTTCTTTCTCCGCCGGGGGACTCTCCGCGGTGGGGGGTGGTGGCTTCCGCTGCCAGGGATGGTGTGGACTCTGGTGCTGGGCGTGGGCTGGTGGTGACGTTTCGGAAGGATGCGCGCCGTCCGGGTTCCCTGCTGTCGTCTGGTGGTGTGCCCGGGGCCGCGGGTCCCCCTGTGGTGCGGGTGCGCGTTGGGGCCCTGGGGGACGTGTTGCCGGCGTCTGTGATGCCACCGGGTCACAGGTCGAAGATTGCCGAGTTACTTCTGTCTGACGGACAGGAGTACTTTCATGGCAGACAAGTTCCCTTCCTGTGGGGGCGAACGGCGACTTCTCGCCTCATGAGTACTACCATCTGGGTCCCCAGTTTGCAGGTGTTTGTTGCCCCGGTTCCGGATGTTATGGCGTCCCCGGTGGATGGCCGGGACCCTTTGCAATGGGTGTTCTGGGAGGCGTTTAATGTACGGTTCCCTCGGGCCAGGTTCCCGGGCAAGTATGTGCTCTGATTTCCTGTGTATTTGCTCTATGACATGCTGTGTGCCCTTCTGGCTGTTTGTTTGCCCTGTTATATTATGTGCTTCTGCCTCTCCCTTTGTGCGTAGCTTTGCCGTGTGGCATATTAGTTTCTAGTGCTTGGCGTCACTCGTTTCGCGTTTTGGCTTGGCGTTTCGCCGTTCCTGGCTTCGCGATTCACCCTTCACGGGTACGCCGGAGCGCATCCTATCCCATGATCGTTGTCGTCCCTAACTCAACAACAACAACAACAACACTCCATGGTCCAGGGGGACTCCGGGTTAAACCTTGATAACGAGCAGACGTCTGGACACCTTCTCAGCCTGGGAGCCGCCTGATCATGTTCTGTTTTCGCGTTTTGGCTTTGCTACTGCCGTTTGGCATCACTATTAAACGGTCCAGTTGTATTACGCTTGGCGCACAAATCGCCATGGGCTACCGGTTTGTTGATATTTTTTTTTGGTACGTGTTCTGGCTGGTTCTCCCAGCGAGGTGACGGACACCGGGCGATGCCTGGAGTTGGTGGGCTCCTTGTGTACCCTCACCCGTGGTGGGCGGCCGGCTTCTGCTCTGCTGGAGGACACTGGATGACTTTTGCATTTTAGTTGGGGGCTGAGTTTTGGGTTTTGCAACCCGGTGTTCTCTGTGTGGGTCGGGGCCGGTGCTTGTCACCCCTGAGAGACTCATGGGGCTCCCCAATCATCTGCCTATCTGCGTTTCTTTGCCGCATGGCATATTAGTTTCCAGTGATTGGCGTCACTTGTTTCGCGATTTTGCTTAGCGTTTTACCTTTCCGGGCTTCACGATTAACCCTTAGCAAGTACGCCGGGGCGCATCCAAGCCCACGATCGTCGTCGCCCCTAATAAAAAAAAAAAAACACTCAATGGTCGAACAAACTTAGTTTTAGCCCTTTATCTTCCGTGAACCCCTAGTTGGTGATGGAAACTATACATAAATGTGTATAAACATTAAGTCACTCTGTCTAATGTGAAATAAGGGTGTATCTTGCTAAGAAACAGTGAGAGGAGTGTGTGACTACACTGTCACAACAGCTATGATGCTCTCACCCTCCCACAATGTATACACAACTCTGCCGCAACATAAGGACCTGGACGGTGGTGTTAACTGCACATATATGTGTATAAACATTAAGACACTCTATTTTAATGAAACAAGTGTGTGTCTTTCCATTAACTGTGAGTGGAGTGTGAGCAACACTGGACTCCTCAAATCAGAAGCCGGTGGAGTCCACACAATACCATTCCAACATCAGTAGTAAACAACATTACAAGCTCTGTTCTTACAAGCGGCTAAAATCTTAGTACGGTAAGATAAGATCCCTGTACCTGCATCTTAATAAGATAATCGAGGATTGTGGTGTAGTAACAATAGTAATTGGATCCAATTCTTTGTGCCACTAACCCCATTATATTTGCAGGTGCGGTAACAACCATGAGTTTACGGGCTCACCTCAGTAAGTAAATTACTTGCCACTTAAATAAAAATTTACTAACTAGGTTTATCAATGTTTAACAAGTAAGTAAGTAATTATCAAAAGAAGGCATCAAGCTGGAAAGGGTATGTAGCACTGTCAAAAGTGTGGGATATTAAAAAGGCGCTAAATATCACTAAGGATGCCAATACGAGTACAAAAGCGCCAAAGGTGAACAACATCAAAGGCATCCGATTCACCTAGGATACTATGGAGGGATAAGTGACCACGAGGGACAGTCCGGAAGCAAGACGCACGCACATCCTGTTAGTCAGGACATTCAATAAGGATATGGAGGACAATAAGAGGG